AGCCATCTGGATCATAGTGTAATGACAATATGGCAATATAAAAAAAAAAGCACCCTTTGAAGGATGCTTCAGATCACTAGATTGGAGAGGATGTGTTATGCTGGTAGAAGGTATTTTCTCAGGAGGTAATATTTTCTGGGTCATGAACTGGTTCCCTCTTTGTGGTAGTGAGACACCATATTTATGTATCCAGTTTGGTCAACAGAGATTTAGTGAATGTCTCTGCCACATGCCAGACCCTGAGCTATTATCAGGGATTCAGTAGTGGGTGAGGAGCTAATGGAAGTCTGTCCCTTGATCAACCTTACCGTCCAGGGGAGCAGACATTAATCAAATAATACTCACTATAACTGTGATGAGTGTTATAAAGGAAGGCCACGAGGAGGTAATGATAAGAAAGCATACAATAGGAGGACTTTTGTTCTCATGAGAGGGGAGCGAAGAGTAGGGACATCTCATGGAGAGCCATTTGGAATCTGAAGGATGAGCTAGAGCTCAGTCAAGTACTCTGCAGGAAAGCAATGGCACACCCAACAGGAGGCTTTAGGAGAGCTAGATAACAGGACTGTATTCCAAGATGTGCACAGAGTTCAGGGAAGCAGCACAAGGCAGCGGTGAACCTGCCTGACACTAGTGAGAGTGGAGACCAGGCAGGATGGTCATAGTCGTAAAGATGGAAGTCCAGTAGGAGCTGTGGCTTTGGGTAGAGGGGACATCCAATCCATGGAGACCCAGGAAGGAGGAAACCAGAAGAATAAGTCATCTGACCTCCCTCTCCTTGCTTTGACTTCCTCTTGTTCTTTCTCTTGGCTGCTCCCACCTGGAGTCCCATAGCAAGGAAGCCATTGGTGTGGTCTACATAGGTTAGACTCCTTACAAAGAGAAGGTGGAGCAGAGTGGAGCACAGATCTGGAGGGGCAAATAGAAGAGATCTGGCACAATGAGCACTGAGTAGGTAAAAAAAAAAAAAAATAAATATATATATATATATATATATATATATATATATATATATTCCGTAGACTCACATCATAGAGTGTGCCGTGGGGCGCACCCCACGCAATGGGAGCAGCATGTACTAAGGCCCTGTGGCAGAAAGGAACATGGAACCTTCCAAGAAGCCTGCTTCTCGTGGTCACAAGAGTGGCCCAAGGGATCATAATCAAGGAGGAAGGAGAGGGATCATGATGAAAAACAGTAAGTGTCAGGTCTGGGCGGTGGCTTGGAGGCCAAGAAATAAGAAATAAGCCAGGAAGCAGAAGGTAAGTTGGGTGAAACGATTCAGGATAAAAAAGACTTGAATAAGGCAAGGGCATCCCGGGCTTAGCCTCTTCGGTTGCTAGTTCTGCATGCAATAACACTCCCAGAGTTAAATGGCTGGAAGGAGTCATAAGCCTTTGCCAGAGATGGTTCAAAGCAGTGCTGGAATGAGGAGACTGCCCTATTCAGTCATTGCAGTCAGTCATGTAGTCAGCAAGTATTTATGAATGGTTTTTGTTTTCCTGTTATACTAGGGGCCAAGAGAGAAATGATATGATTCTTGTCTCTGGGGAGCTCACGGGCTCAGCAGGAAAGGCAAGCATGTAAGGAAATACTTCCAGTATCATGCAGTAAGTGCCCCTTAAGGAGCTGCGGACCGGGCGCAGAGAGCCCAGCCTGGACTGACTGTCCGGGTAGGGCCGAGAAGGTGTCCCAAAGATGTGATCTCTCTGCTTGGTCTTCCATTCTCTAGTTAGGAAAATGAGGTGAGGGTTTTCACCCAGCTGTAAGCCAAATACCAAAGCAAACAGTCTCTCAATCTCAGTGGTTTAACGTAACAAAATCTGTAAGATCTTTCTTTCTCATGCCATGGCCACTGTGTTCTGAGTGGCTCTTCCCAAAGGGGTGACCCAAGGGTTCAGGCTCTCTGGAGCTCCAGCAGGCAGTTGGCAGGGCCGCTGCATTAGGATCCGAGAGTGGGGGGAAGGCACAGTGCACCCTCAGCTGCCTTCCCCGGACACTGGTCACTCCCCCTCACGCTCCATTGGGCCAAAGTGGTCTGATGGCCACGTGGAGATGAAAGGCAATGGGAAATGGAGTCTAGGCTCCAAGAGAGCATGAACCTCTGGTGGGCTGTCAGCTGCCTCCACAGCAGGGAATGGTACACCAGAGAGCCCATAATCAGGGAAAAGCAGGCAGTTGCTGAGAGAACATTTACAGAAAAAGAAGCCAGGGAGGTCAGTCAGCTGGATTGCTGAGACCCAAGGACAACATGCCAAGGAGACGGAGACCTTCCCCCTAGCTGCGTGGCACCACTGGTGGTGTCTACTCAGGGTGTGCTTTGATCAGATTTTCATCTCTACACAGCGCACCCTTTCCTCTCATCTTTTGCTCCATGGAAAGGCCACGATGGTGTGGAGGCTGAGCACTGTCCAGCTTTGCTGCTTATCAGCATGGAAGCTGTGTCTCCAAGCCTCAGTTACCTTATTAAGAAAATGGGGATAAACTCTGTACTGCCCATCCGCAGGAGGCTTGATGAGCAAATAGATAGTGTCAGGAGGATGTCCTTTAGAAATTGTATCTGTTTTAGCATCCACTCTTCTCCCAGATTTAGAAATCCCAGCTGGAAAGGATAATACATTTCCATTACCGGCTAAATATTTGCTTCAGCCTCTGTTTTTTTCACCAGAGAATTTATTCTAAGCTCTCCAAAGCTTTTTTCCCAGAGTTCCGTGGCGTATATAGACAAGGTAAAATGTTCCTTTCACTCCACATCTTCTTCTATCAGCCCCAGACTGAAAATCCCTTTATTAACTTTTTAAATACACACGTGGAAAGCAGATGGCATTATCTAGATAATGCTAGCAAAAGATCAGACTCTTTTCCAAGGCCTATGCTCTGATTTGAAATAACCAAATAAAATAAGGTTATTTTGGCCTGAAATTAGATATTGAAATAAGGTATTTGGAAAATTGCCATAGTTTGTAAATTTTCGTCTCTTCTCTAGATATGGTCTGGGTCTTTTAGAGCATCTTCTACCTAATGGACTAGTTTGACAAAGGTTGAACCACGTACATCAGGCTCCCTCCCATCTCTGACCTTTTTCTCTTTCTCCCTGTTACCATTCTCCTCCCTCTCCTAAGTGGCAAATATTACTTTGGTTTTAATCTGTAGTGTCAAGAGAACTAAAAACAGTGTCCTAAGATGGTCCACAGGTCCACAGGTCCATAGCATCATAATAAAAGAGACATCATTCACACATTTCTGGGGTACCTGTCACCAGAGCAAGCAGGTGCAATTTCCATTGTTTAATTTTGCATCCATATTTTGGACCGAACATGGAATCTTAAGTTTTATATTTTTATTGATTAAGGTTCCAAAAAGGTTCTTTTGGATCTGGTGTATCCTTGGGGCAGGGCGGGGAGGTGGCTGTCAATTATACTCTCCACCTTAATGGCCTTCATTCCCTAAACAGCAGTCATAGCTGTTCTCGGAAAGGAGCAGGGCCCATGTGAAGATGTATTTCCAAGGGAGGATGAGGGGACGAGAATGTTGGTATTTCTAAAAGTATAGACAGCCCGACAGCAAATTCCAGAGCCTGGGTGACATTTTAAATTGGTAATGCTCCTAATTACCCAAACCCTAGGAAACCGTATTGAATACAGCCACAGTTCTAGAATTAATATAAGTGAGCGCTGTGAACCCGTCGCTAACAGCATGCTCTCTTAGAATAATGGCAGAATATCTGTGTCAGCACAGTGTGGCACTGCAGTTAAAACACACACATGCACGCACACACTGGCTTGATAGTTCCTATTTTTTGGAAAAATTTACCTTCTATCAAGTTAAAAAAAATTTTTTTTCTAAGTCTCCTACAAAAAGTAATATGAAGTAATACTTCGTTTCCTTGTCCAACATTGCTATTGCTATCTCTGCGTTAAAATGTCAGATTTATGAAGATGAATTTAAGTAAACAGCGTATGGTTTTATGGAACATGAGCTTGGAAGGCAGAAATGCCCAGATTCAAGTCCTTACTCCCCTATCTGCTGCTAGTTGAACTTGGGCTGGTTGGTCAGTGTCTCTGAACTTCAACTTGGTCATTTCTAAAGTAGACATGATAATGCCATTTGCTCAAATGTTTATTGTGAGGATTTGGGGCCAATCAAAATGTTTTGCTCAAAGCTGGTGCTGAAAGATGCTAAGAGTCAAGGTCATCGATGTGCCAGGAACCCTGTGGCCTGAAATCTCGATCATCAGATTGAGACTTGGGCCGTGGCTTTGGCAGTGTTTGGAGATGGGACCCAGTACATGCCATCGACCTCTTGCTCTCAGCGTGTTTGTCCAGGTGTTGGGCCCTTGTGCTTGTGAGTGCACAACTGAATGGTGATTTTCTTGATTTAAGTCCTAGGTTTGAACACAGAGAGTAGAAGAAAAGTGTCTGGAGATTCCACGTGTCCAGTGTCTTAATACCCTTTTACCTTCCATTTATAAACCTCCCCAACTTCGTGGAGGGGCCTGGATAAAAAGCAAGCACATACCTCACTTTTGGATTTTTGAAGACTTTATCTTCCATTATTTCTGAATAAATAAAAAGAATATATGTGTTTATATATATAAAATTATATACAAAACATAAAAACTGTTGACAGTTTTCATTTTCTTGGTGCTAACAGATTGGGTAAGCAAGCTCACTCATGGCCCTTTACTTTTCTTGGCCCTAAATGTCCTAAAAGCAATCCATGCTACAAAGAAACTCTGAAAATAGGAGCAGTGGTTTGAAAAACACCAATTACGTGCCAAGTGCTTTGTACACACTTTATGTTCATTAATCCTACAATCAAACTTAAAAAGTGGATATTACTAACCCCATTAAACATCTGAGAAAAAGGCTCATAGAGATTCATAACTTGGCCAAGGTAAGAGCACTTATAAGTAGCTGAGCTCGTATGTTCACTAGGTCTGATGGCAAGGCTCGGAGTTCATGTTCTCACCCCTCTCTTGTCTTCACTTTCCCTTCCAGGTTGTTCTGGACGTTGGTTGCGGATCTGGAATACTGTCATTTTTTGCTGTTCAGGCTGGAGCTAGGAGAGTGTATGCTGTTGAAGCCAGTTCAGTAGCACAATATGCTGAGGTAAGGGGTTGTATTTTTACAGCGACTACTAACCAGATCTTTGGTAAACTTCAGGGGACTGGGTGATGGGCTCTTCCAAGTAGGTCATTTGGAAGAATTTTTTTTTCACCAGTCTGATTTTCTTTTTTTTTCCCCCATTGGGATTTTACTGCTGCAAGAAGCCAGACTTCATTGTCGTAATTGAGAGGAAAACAAGTTTTTAAGACATTTCACGATCCTGGAAATAGAACAAAACTTTCTTCTTCCCCATCCACTGGGTGGCAGGTGGGCCTGGGGGAGATGGATGTTTTCTTATCTTTAATGACCTACTGAGGTGAGGAATCAGACCTCCCTGGAGCTAGATTCATTTTGTTCTTAAGTGCTGTATGGACAACAGCTGTACCACTCACTTTAAATTTTACTTTGAGCTTAAGGAGCTGTTGCTCCATGGTTGTATTTGGACAGATAGATGTCTGTGTTTCAGGGAGTTTTTTTCAGATTTCAGGCTCTGATTGGAGGATAGGGCGATGCTTTGTTTTAATATAGCCCTCTATTACCATTATGAAATGTGTACAAATATTAGAGAATAAGTCAAAGTCAAGAGTCCGGTAATAATGGCTTTCGGTAATACCTGGATATAGTAATAACCCAGTCACGGCTGCACGGATTTGATGGATTTGCACACGTGCCTGAACAGGTCATGTGCTTGTCATTCACACTGGAAGGAGGCCGGAGTTTTAATGAGGGACAGGATGACAGAGAGGGAAGCTTGCCTGTTCCTTCTGATGAGCATCACATGATGTTCTCCAGCCCTGGACAACTGGTAGCTCAGGGTGGCGGCTGGCTTTGGATTGAGTGAGCCAAGAGGGACCAGAGACAGGTAGACCAGTGTGCCATGTTTGGAAGAGAAGAATGCAAGAGCCTAATAGCTGGCAGGTTGTTGAACTCTTTTTTTCCTTCCAGCAAATGTTGGATAAAATATTTTTGGTCATTTGCTCCTTCACCAGTTCTTAAATGTTTTTAGTGAAGATTAGATACATGCAAAAGAATATTTGTCAAATGTGTAAGTGTAAAGGATCATGATGCATTGATCATGGGCCTTGTACCTCTTTTCAGAAGTGGGCCATTAGCTGGGGCGCCTGGGTGGCTCAGTGGGTTGAGGCCTCTGCCTTCGGCTCAGGTCATGATCCCAGCATCCTGGGATCAAGCCCCGCATCGGGCTCTCTGCTCTGCGGAGATCCTGCTTCCTCCTCTCTCTGCCTGCCTCCCTGCCTGCTTGTGATCTCTCTCTCTGTCAAATAAATAAATAAAATCTTAAAAAAAAAAAAAAGAAGTGGGCCATTAGCATTTCCATTAAAGATCTATGTGACTTGTTCTGATTGCTTCTCCTTTCTGCTTTAAACAGAGGTAACCACAGTCTTGAATTTTTGTCTCATTCCGTTGTTCTATAGACTTTTACCACATGTATTTCTGACCCTAAAAACAAATCCCTTATGAACTGTTCATAAATGGAATCATCATGTATGCATTCTTCTATAATTTGCTTTTTTTAATCCCATGTGATGATCATTTTGTGGATGCATACAACTGTTGTTTACTTATCTTCAGTGCTGGAAACTGTGCTCTTGTATGGGATGCCTCAAGTTGTTTGCTCACTGTTCTGTTGGCAGACTTATGGTGGCCTCCATTACAGAAGTGTTGTTATGAATATTCTTGTACAGCACTCCCCATTATATCTCTGCTAGAGTTCCTCAGCATCTACACATCAGTAGAATTGCTGGGTCATAGGACAGGCCTACCTTCAACTCTGCTCTGTAATTCTCACTTGTTTTCCAAAGTGGCTCTTCCAGTTTTCATTCCCTCCTGCAGTAACCAAGAATGCCATTGTTCTACAATTCTGTCAGCACTTGATATTGTCAGACTTTTGAATTTTTGCCCATTTGGTATTTATGCTATGATGTTTGCAGTTTTAATTTGCATTTTCCACTTACTAATGACTTTGAGCAACTTTGCAGAGTGTTTTGGCCACTCTCTTCTGTAGAATACCTGTTCAAGTTTTTTGGGTTTTTTGGGGACAATTTTTATTTTGAAATTTTTTTTCAAATTCTGATTCATTTGTAGGAATGATTTCTATATTCTGGATATTAATCATTCCAGTTATGTATGTGGAAAATAGCTTTTTACAGTTGGTATCTCACCTTTTCTCTTTCTTTATGGTCCTATTAGTCTTGAAGTGTGGAATTCTAAAAAAGAAGAGAATACAAGCTTATGAGGAGAGAACCTTATAGTTAAAGTGCTTCCACTTAGATTTTCATAAATCTGAAAATACGTTCCTAAGGATTAACTTTGTCTCAGGTGCTGCTGCTCAGGTGCTGCTCAGCCATTCAATCATATGTTCATTCAGTCAGCTCCGACAGTTCTGGGTTTTGGGAATATAAGAGTAACTACTGATTAGGGTCTATTCCTGTCTTCAGAGAGGTTCGTTTGTTCTTTCTTTCTTTCTTTCTTTCTTTCTTTCTTTCTTCCTTCCTTCCTTCCTTCCTTTTTAAAGATTTTATTTATTTGACAGATAGACGGAGATCACAAGTAGGCAGAGAAGCAGGCAGAGGGGGAGGGGGAAGCAGGCTCCCCACTGAGCAGAGACTCCTATGCGGGGCTTGATCCCAGGACCCTGAGATCATGACCTGAGCTGAAGACATAGGCTTTAACCCACTGAGCCACCTAGGCACCTGAGAGGTCCTATTCTGATAAGAGATTGATCCTGTTGTGCCTTGTATCAGACACGACCCCAGAAAAAGAGTAGCATAATTCAGGGACTTTCTTTTTCTTGTACATTTTGTGTTCTCATATATTTTAAGGTGTTTCAAGACCTATTACTTCTTTTCAAAACCTTGAAAACCTAATGCCCTTGGTTATAGTATTTTAAAGAAAAACAAGAAGAAATTAGCTAGAGACATCCTTCCATTTCCTAGCTGTAATCCTGCCTCCATCCCCAGCATAAACTTTCAGTAATCATCAGCACACCATGGGAGGAGACATTCTAGAACTGTCTGTGTGATTGGTTTCTCCAAGAGAATCCTCTTCCTGATTAAACATATCAGTAGGATTGTTGCCCTTCTTACAGAGTGGGGCTGCCCTCACAGGCACTTGTACCCAGAGTGTGGCTGCTGTATAATTATAAGGGTCTCTAGCAAGAAGCTAATCCACAGGAGAAGAAAAGAGAAAGAATTCAAAATTTTAAAACTTTTAAATTTTTAAAATATTTTTTTTACTATGTTGTGTTAGTCACCATACAGTACATTATTAGTTTTTGATGTAGTGTTTGTGTACAACACCCAGTGCTTCACGCAGTCCATGCCCTCCTTAACACCTGTCACTGGGCTCACCCATCCCACCCTTCTCCCATCTGAAACCCTCAGTTTGTTTCTCAGAGTCCACAGTCTGTCATGGTTCACCTCCCCCTCCAATTCCCTCCCTTCATTTTATAAACTATTTAAAACTTTTTACATGATTTGAAACTTGAAATAATTTCAAACTTACAGGTAACTTGTAAAAATAGGAATAGTTCAAAGGCTACCCAAATTCTTTTTACCTGGACTCACCAGTTTTTTCACATTCTACCCCATGTGCTTCATTGTTGACTCTGGCTTTCCTCTCCTGCCCCAGCATGGCTATGTACGCGCACATGTATCAATGTTCGCACATATGGGGGTAGATACAGAGATGGACGTGCACACACAGGTTTATTTTAGCAAGTGCACGCACCTGCACGCACAGGAGTATAGGGGGAGGAGGGGCAGAGGAGGGAGAGGAGAGAGACAGAATCTTAAGCAGGCTCCACGCCCAGCACAGAACCCGATGCGGGCCTCGATCTCATAACGCTGAGATCATGACCTGAGCCGACATCAAGTCATTCACCTGAACCAACTGGACCCCCCCCAGGCTCTCCACACACACACTTGTTTTCCCGAGTCAGTGATAGATGCATCATGGCTTTTTATCCTCGAACGTTTCACTGTGTGTTTCCTAGGATTAAAGCTATTATATAACCAAAGAAGAACCTAATTTAAAGGTAAAAAAGGCGCTGTACAATGACTTGTCCGTCGAGTCTTTCGATGTTACTGATCAGCAGGTTCGGGGAGGCCGTGGCGCGAGTGGGGAGCCCTTCACTGTGGGTGTGGGGGGAGGAGAGTCTCTACTGAACCGCATCTCTGCCTGTGTTTCATTTCCAGGGACACTTGAGTTTTCAAGCTTTAACACCAATGTTCTAATGAATCTCCAGAGCCATAATTTTATGTTCTCTTTGGTTTGGGCTTCTGTAGAGGGTTTTTGTGTTTCCGTACTCTTTCTTTTCTGTGTCTAGCTGGGGCAGGTTGGAGGCAGGGGTGGCTCTTCAGATGCTCTGGGGGCTGCACAGAGCCCTTGACATCCTTGCCGGCAGGTCCCTTTGGCCCCCGAGACCATCCCTGCATGGGGCCCTAAGGACAGGCTAGTTATAATACGTTCAGGGCCAAGCATGATTAGAACCTTCTCGGAGGATGGATTTAGTGCCATCCTGGCCCCTCCCGATGAAAACCGTGGCCTCTGCCGTGCCTCCGGCTGCTGCCGTGGCCATCATGAGAGGCTCCTGTGGGCCAGGCCTTTTCACCCTGGGGGAGGGCGACCCGTACCAGCTCTTGATTTCTGCTTCTCACACTGACATTCGTCTGCACAATTTCTGGGTGGCAAAATGCAAGTGTGAACTGCACACAAAAGATTTTCCCTCTAAGAATAGGCTTTCAGAGCAGCTCAGCACACAGTGCATGGTGCTCCTTTCGACCTTTTCATTATTTGGTAATTGAACCAGCAGACATTTAATTCTTTCCTCTGGAGTCTTCATTAAATTGCTCGGAAAAGATGAAATTGCAACAAGAAAGAAAAATGAACAAATTTAACTACCATCGCCTGTGCCTGGATACTTCTTCTCACGCCAGGCTTCTGGGCTTTAAGTAAACAGCATATTTTAAAATTGCAGTGAATTC